CACTCTTCGATTGATGAATTTTGGCTTTAAGTCAAGGGGCGCTATGACTGACGTGATCATAAGAATGCTCAGAATTTGCTGAGATTAGTTAAGCTTTGCATGTCGAGGAAACGATAAAGGACTTTTCTGGGATTCAGAGGCACGGCAAGGTACTTCTGTTCGCTAACATGGAGGACGTACCCTTGCGCAGCTAAAAATACGTGTGGAAAGCAGCGTCCGCTCGCGACCAAGCGTCCCGCCCACTGGTCATAGCACTCCCAACTTCCGTTTTTCAAGGCTTTCTGTGAGTGCGATTGTTCCGCTACTAACACTCTCCATTCCGAGTGATGACAGTGAGTGATAAGGAGAGAGTGAGCTGGTCCGTCCGGCTACGCCATTTCTTCGCCTTATGCATGTATATATATGTATGAGAAATTGTTCTGCTCCTCAGCTCCACACTGAGTGACAAGGGCGCTGCGACCGCTGCAACTTGAAGGAGATCCAACTGTAGCAGGTAAAACAGTAATGTCCACCTTCCACTCGACCTTACACGACCTTAAGTGTAAAGCGATGCTGGTAGCGTACAGTTGTTCGGACCTAAACCTGGCCTAGCGTGTCGACTTTTGCTGACTGCTCGTGCTCATGAGTCATTCCACATTCCTTCGATACCTTTTTCAGGGAGTGCACATGCAGACCGTTCCACATCGCAAAGTATGATGCGTTTTGGTGCTGTTTTAATGCCAATGATGCCGTTTGTTGATGCCATCACCTGTAAAACCTGTACTCTCGCTGGTCATACAGTGCCTCGAGCGAGCACCAGTAACGTCTCCATTCGTCCCTGCAACGTGCAAGAGTTGCCCAATGGGCCCTGAGGGGACAAAGGGAGCACTGCTCGAAGAACGCGATGAACTTCATACCATTCGTTCAGAGCTTTCACGAAGAAGTCTGACCATCGCATAGGCGGTCGTCCAGGCGTTCGCTTGACATCCCGTGGAATCCAGTCGGTGATCGCTCTGGTCCAGCGGTCGTCTTCAAAATGCATGACGTGCTAGGTCCATCCTGATCTTCAAAACCTTGGCAGATGCGGCTGCATCTCTGATCTTCAATTGTTGGCTTGCGAAGCTTCGGATTCTCTCTCTCCCTCCCCCTCCCATGCGTGTCGCCACTGAAGCGGCAGGGCACTCCGAGTGTTGTCCTTCCGATGCCAGTTGAACGGCGCTAACCGCATGCTCATCCTGTTTTTGTAACCGTGGAATGGAAGAGGCTGGCTGGCACGGAGCTGGTGTTCTTCGTCTTCTTCGCTACTCCCTCGTCGTTCTTGAAAGGCTCCCCAAGCCGCTCGCTTCCTCCTGCCTAGCACTGGTGCTAAATCATATCATATCGATCATCAGTTCATCATATCGATTTCTGGACCAAGATACACATAGCTGGAGCAATGCATCACAAACCAGTCCGTTCCTTGTGAACATGGTCCTTCTCGGATTCAGCTTGAACCGATTCTTCCACAGCGCAGTCGAAATCAGCCAGCATTCGTTCCGCTTGCTCGATGTTTGGTGTTATCAAAACGATGTCGTCAGCAAAGCGGAGATGGTGTAGTTGCCGACCGTCGATCTTCACTCCCATGTCTTCCCATTCCAGTTGACGCATGACGTTCTCGAGAGAGGCGCTGAAGAGCTTGGGCGAGAGTGTCGCCCTGTCGGACCCCTCTCTTCACGTCGACGATGATGATCTCCTTGTAGAATGGTGAAATCTTGGTCGTGAAGTTGCTGTAGAGCTCACGAAGAATCCTGATGTACTGAGTAGGAATACCCTGGTTGCCCAGGGCTTCGGTAACAGCCTCTCAACGGAGTCGAAGGCTTTTTTCAAGGTAATGAAGGTGGAGAAAACGGCATATGGTACTCTCGGGATACTTCACTGAGCTTCGTTACCGTATGGATGTGATCGCTTAATCCTCTGCGAAACCCTTCGCGCGCATGGCTGTCTTTCGTTAAGTGTTCTCCCATAATGTTGTAGTTGGTACTGTAGTTCATCGAATCAGTTTTGCACGAGGATTTTTTCGGAAAGTTTTTTTGTCACGAATTCCCGTTTTCGTGGTATTCTTTTGCTTTTTATCTGTTTTGGAAGGCAGTGAGTAGTGGATGATGCAATGACACGATCTTTGAGCTAAAGGATGCCCAAAGGCAGCACAGGATTCGGTCAGAATGAAGCCACCAAACCCTAAAAAGTCGCGCAATAAGGCTGTCACCCGTAACGTGCAATCGCAGGGTTTTTTTCAAGGCTTATTTACCGTCATGCAAACCTTTCTACTTTCAAGCCCGTTTTTTGTCGTTCCAAGCAAGATCGACTACATTTTAATACATATTCCTCGATCACGAGTGCATAGAATCTTTCTTGTACAGACAGTCAGGTCCACACTCTCAAAGACTGCCTTTTACGCGGCTCCTTAGTGAGTAACGAGGGCGCTGCGAACGTCACATGCAGAAGAAGCCCCGCCCATCTACAGAGGAGACCGGTTCCACTGGTTCTTTGCTACATACAAAAATATGAGCGACGTTGCGTTCCTTTTTGAGTGGTTATGATCTTGACG